TTACATCTTTACGTTCCATCCCGTGCTCTCCGATCTCAGGACTCTGGCCTTCTAAAGGTTCCTAGAGCCAGAAAAAAGACTATTGGAGAGCGTGCTTTTTCTTTTTGTGCCCCGTTTCTGTGGAACACCGTCCCTCAAGATATTAGGCAGGCATGCTCTGTTTCCGGTTTTTAAAACTAAGCTGAAGACACATTTGTTCACCCTATCTTACAAGTCTTAATTCTATGGCTTTCAGTTTTAAATTTTTACTGTTTTTAACTTGTATTGTGTCTTTTACCTGTATTGCTATGTATTGTTTTTATTTATTTTTTATCTTTTTAGTTTCAAATAGTTGTACAGCACTTTGTTTGAAAGCGCTTTATAAATAAAGTTATTATTATTATTATTACCTTACAGAAAATAAGCCAAAATGGAAAACAGCGCGTACAGAAATTATGATGCATTTCATATATTGTAATGATCTAACGAATTAGACACCCTCGGATGCCCTTTACTAATTAAGAAATGCTAAGGACCAGAATCTTTTATTATGCCCTGACATGTAAAACCTTATAATTTAAGGAGGGTATACTGTCTTTTTATTGTGACTGTATATTTTCCATAATTCAGAGGTAGTTTCCCCAATCATGCTCATGCCTCAAGCTTCCTTATTTGGAAGAAGGGGAAATGAATTTTTATTAAAAAAAAAAAAAACAAAACATGTTTAGCTTGAATTAATAGTTGACTGACAGTACATTTAAGTAAGCTTTACTTAGAAATTGTGCAGCTAGCCCTGCAAATGGTGACCTGTCCATGGTGTGCCTCTCACCCTGTGAGAGCCAGGATAGGCACCAGCCGCTGTCTTAAAAGTCAATATCCTTCTCTAGACAAATGACTTCTCTGGGCTTTAAAACACTTTCTGTTTTTTAACAGGTGGTAGGTAGAAACCTGTGGATGTTAGAGGAAATGAGTTAAAATTGCCACTTTGATTAATGTAACAAAACGTACACTTTAATTAGACTTAAATAAAACTGAAAAACTCTCACCCACCCTGGTCCTTTCACAACAATCTCTATTACATATGGTGCCTTTTTATCTGTTTTTCTGTACATACTTCTTTTTACATAGTATGTACATTTGATCTATGTGGAGTGTGTATTTCTGAGTCAGTGAGCTGTATAGACACACTATGACTTTCAGCTGTATTATGGAAAGAAACACATCCAAATTGAGATTCACAGTCAAACATCACCATGTGTGAAAAGATACGCAGACACACTTGTGCAATAACACAAGCGCTCATCTTCGGGAGGCATTAAGCAAATATCCTTAAATAAATACAAAATAAATTAAATCATATAAAAGAATGTGTTAAAAAATAAAAAAAGAAATTCTGTTACATATTAAAACAAATCGCAAACACAAGTAACAACAGTACTTGCTCATAGACAAAGAGCACAAAGAGTACAGATGGCTACAATCTGTAAACAATTATGGACAGAAGGACAAACATGCATGGAGACAGACACATCCACATGTCATCAGTGTGTAGAAAGGACTAGTGGACCTAAGGTGGTGGTGGATGAGGACTTTTTCTCTGGGATGGGAGTATTATGGAAGAGCTGTCACTTCTCACTTCCCTGTCAAGAGGTATGGGCTGCAGTTCTGTGTTTGACAGCATTATTGGCAGTGCTGCTATCAGCTGATTTCCTGGATGTGTTGCTCATAGATGGCTCAGGACTGACTGAACAGCACCAAATACTATGGCAGAGTGAAAGGACATGAGCGTTTCATCAAAATTTCCAGAGTGCAAGGTCATTTACATTTTTTCCACACCAGAAACCACTGAAGGTTACTATTTTGCTCGCACTATAACTGTGTACAAGTTTTACTGTAATTGTATGGTGATAACATAGCCATCGTTGATACAGGAAGAATTAAAATATTCTCCCAGTTACACAAATACCTGCTTAAGGCGAGACACTACCGTTAGTGTTTTTGTGTTATTTTGGTTTCATAGTATGTCTTCTTTCAGAATAGTGGAAAGAATACAAAAAGATATACACATTTAGATTTATTTTTCTGCACTGGACATTTATGCAAATGTTTCATAATGCAGAATTTCTCAAATGTGAGTTCTCTCAGACAGATACCGGGCAACTCAGTGTTCAATATTCTTTGAGACATGCACAGGAGGAGCCAGAGATGTATCCACCAATCTTTCAGATAGACACAACTCTACCACCTGACCCACAGCTGCCACAACTACAAGCTGTCCCAGGTGGGCTCTCATCCATGTACTGACCAGATCAGAAGTCGAGCTTATGTGTGCTCAGGGTGGAATCGCCTCATGCTATCAGTAGTGACGCTGAACCTAGTGTCTGTAATATACAGTGATCCATACACTGCTTAAAAAAAATTAAAGGTACACTTTGAAACCACATCAAGTCAACTCAGTGGGGAAAAAAGTCATGTTGGGTATTTATTTTAATATGGACTTGGTAATGTTAGGAATTGAAGAATGCCACATCATTTGAGGGAAATAAAAATTGTCAACATATAGAAGGCCGAATTCAAAGATGCCCCGAAATCAGAGTTTAAAAAATGATGCAGCAGGTTAGTCCATTTCGCAGAAATTTCATTGCCGCAACTCAAAATGCTGCAGTATTTTAATAGTTTGTATGGCCCCATGGCCCCCTTAACACCATTGAGGCATGCTCCTAAAGAGAAGACCGATAGTGTCCTGGAGGATCTCCGTCCAGATCTGGACCAGAGCATCAATGGGCTCCTGTTTTGTGTGGACTGAAACATAATGTCCCAGAGGCGTTCTATCCTTCACCCACCAACAACTGGGGAGGAAACCAGGACCCACTCCACCAGCGTAGGGTCTGACAATCGTTCCAAGGCTTTCCTCCCGATACCTAATGGCAGTCAGGGTTCTGTTGCCTAGCCTGTAGAGGTCCCTGTGTCCTTCCAAGGATATGCATTCGCAGACAGTCACCACTCACCACCAAACTGGTCATGATGAACAATATTACAGGTTCTCCATGGCTTCTCCAGACCCTTTCATATCTGTAACATGTGCTAGTGGTGGACTTGCAAATTCTGGTATTCAATGGCAAATGCCAATCGGACTCCCTGGTGCCAGGCAGTGACCATAGGGCCCACTAGAGGACATCAGCCATCCTCATGAAATCTATTTCTGACTGTTTGGTAAGAGACATTCCCACCAGTGGCCTGCTAGAGGTCATTTTGTAGGGCTTTGAGTTGTCCTACTGGTGGATCTCCTGGAGTAAGTACTTGTCTCCTGGAACCTCCAGACATGATAAACTTTCTGGCAATGGCACGTATTGATGTGCCATGTTGGTGGAGTTGGACTACCTGTGCAGCCTCTAAAAGATGCAGGCACTGCCATTGTCACCAATAGTGACAATGACCCTAACCAAATGCAAAACTAGTGGATATAAACAGTCAGAAAAGACAAGGAGGGGAAAAAATGTCATTCACCTGCAAAGCCATTCCTGTTTTGGGTTTTTTCTCACAGATGCTCCTCTAGTGCACCTAGACTTAATGAAATGTTAATTGAAGTAACATCAAAACAATTGATACAACCTTCTCTGCTACTTAATCTGACCAGCTCACTGTCACAGAAGTTGGTTGACTTGATGCTATACTCTGATTCAAAAGCATCCCTTTAATTTTTTTAGAGGACTGTATATGAGGAGATTGAGGTTTTAGTGTGCAAGATTTCTTTTAACCATTTTCACTTTGTTCAAATGTGGAAACTCCACTTTAATAACCCTTTTTAAACAGATTCAGGGCTTTCTATGCGTCATTCAGAGCCTAGTTTGTGATAAAGTATTGCAGAAGATGAAATAGTTGTCTCCTGAAAAAGTATTCTCCTGTACTGTCACTCATCTTACCTGGTCTGACCTTTAGTTCTGTAATTCCAGACTTTTCAAGATCTGCATGTTGGAAGTAACTTGTTATGTTAACATTTCTCAACAGTGAGCCACATAAACAGCCAACTTTTTTTCATAATGCGGCATACAAAATGTTTTGTTCAATTCAGACCTCATGTGTAGCACGTACTAACAATTATAGTGATCAGAGCAGTCACATCCAAAAAAACAAGGAGTCTGTGAGCTAGTGTTCATGCTCTCTTCACAAATTGTCTAATTAGTCAGAAAGGTTGTCACATTATCTTTTTCTTTAAAACCACAGGTGTTTAAATCATGTTTAATTATTACTTGTTATTAAACCCTGTCTTTCTTCCACAGCGTCTTTTGTTATCGCTCACTCAGCTCTGTTTTTCCCCTTACTCCCAACCAGCTACAGATGGCTGTTCCTTCTACCAGAGGGTTCTTCCTCCTCAAAGAGATTTTTCTTCCCACTGTCATTAAGTGCTTGCTCTTAGGGGGTAGCCTGATTGTTGGGAATTTCTGTCTATCATTGTAGGGTCTTTACCTGACAGTATACAGTGCCTTGAGGCGACTATTGTTGTGATTTGGTGCTACATTAATAAAATGAAATTGATCTGTGTTTGATTGTTGCAGTCACACACAATGCAGCACGCAGTGTGTTTGAACAGCAGCTTTGTTCTCACTGGCAGCAAACAAAAATTCAAAATGTTTTCAGCTGCCATAACTTGACCCGATCCCTGTGCCGATGATTTTTACTGCTCTATAACTGTTTGGACAGTACTGAAGATTGCAGAAAGTGGAATCCTCTGGGACACTGGTGTACGCTGAAGTAGGAAAAAACAAAGGAACATTATGTAATAAGCAACAAGGAGTCAACCTTTGAGGTCAGAACTCCAAGAACTAAAATGAACCTTTGAATCTAATGAATTGAGATCTTTCCTAAATCCCTCCTATTCCTCTACCCTAAGTGTATACTGTAGAAATGTATGTGAAGGCACACACTGTATTGTCATGTGAAAACCTTGTAACGCTAATATAAAACACAAGTGTTAACTACGCCTGGAGAAACAGAAAAATAGCAGTTTCATCTGAAAATGCTGAATGGACATATTCAAATCAAGGCAGTTTTCTGATGCTTTTAGGAAAGTAAACACATTGGAGATTAAGCATCCAGCAGCAATAAAATGTGTATTTCGATGTTCTTGTGCTGGACAGTACTGAAATGTGATGGAGCAAGTTAAAGGGAGTGCGGAGGAAGCAGGAGTGAGTGAGTATGGAGGATGACTGTGTGCAGCTGGGGGTTATAGGATTCCATCCATGAAACTGGTGTCTAGCCGCTGGATGAGCACCCGGATAAAGGACATCTCCTTGCGAGTATTTTCAAAGATGACCCTAGGATCATCAGACTGGCAGCGCAGACAGTTGGGAGCCATAACCATGGCCAGGTTGTTCACATCCATTTTGGTGATGGCCACATTAGCAGGCTGGGCAAATACCTAGACAAACACAAGGAAAGATCTCTATCTAATAAATGCAATAACATTTCAAGTTCTTAAGCATACTGTGATGATCTGGCAGGCATAATATTACAGTGCTGGAAAAAGATTATGTTTTATGTTTCTCTAAAGCTCATATCTGATCATGGTCATTTAATTTGGCAACACTATGTAAATGTGACTCCCATTGTGCTGCAGCTTTTTTGTTTTAACAACAGTGCTCAGCTTTTCAGAACTGTTGAGACCAACTGCTGTAATTTTAAAAGCCAAATGTTTTCAGATTCTTTAAATAAAATTTCATAGTATTCATAGTTTTCCATAGTCTCTTTTGTTGTAGTTTCTGCCAAAATTCACAACATGTTTTCAGTGGTAATAGATCAGTTTAGTGTGGATTGGTATTAAGATAACCAAATATCAGATATGTTACTCAAAACTGTTATACATCATAATATATCATTCAGAAAAACTTGAAATGTGCACTCTTTATAAATGGTTGTTCTTGTCTCAGTGATTTCCACAATCACAGAACAGTTGTTAGAGAACAGTTTTCCACTCAGTCCATCTCAAATAAGCTTGGGCCCAGGCAGAACACACCGTTTCTGGATTATACCTGTTGCAACACAAATACTCAAAAGTAGATGATGAAATAGCAAAGTTCTTTGCAGGTTTACACTAAGAATCATTAACATTATCAGTCTTTTATCTGCTCTACATACATTCTTCTTTATAACTCACCCGCTCTCAGATACTGTTTTAATATCCAGTCATGTTCAGTTCAATTCAACTTTATTTATTTGGCAGCAAATCACAACAACAGTTGCCTCACGGTGCTTTATTTATTCATAACCAGGACTAGGGAGAGGCATGTACGGTGGGGATGGTAGGTGGTAGGATGACAGATGTTGTGAAGGAGGGCGTGTCCCATTTTGACCTTGGGACTTCCAGGTCACAGATGTTAGAAGTGAAGAAGTTTCTCGGATGAGAGAGGTGAAACGTCTTCAAGAAACTTAAAGAAGTTCAGACGCTTGTCTTTCCAAGCTCCTTAGACAACCCAGAACAGAAGTCCAGAACTACCTCAGCAAAAAAGAACAAGATGGTAAGCTTGAAAACATGGAGCGGCCAGCACAGCCTCCAGACTTAAACCCCATCAAGATGATTTGGGATGAACTGGACAGAAGAGTGAAAGCAAAGCACGCTACAACTGCCAACATTTATGGGAACTTCTACAACAGATAGGGAAGAAGCTTCCGAAGAATATTTGATTTCTATTGTAGACAGAACGCCACGGGTGTTTTTAGCTGTTACATCTGCCAAAGGTGGCAACTTTGATGAGTCAGAAGTTTAAAAAACATTTTGGTTTAGAAATTGATTTCTTTTTTAACTCCAACTGCTTATTTGTACGATGCTTTCATTTCAGAGTGCAATGAGACATTAAACTCCATAATTTTTTAATTAAAACCTGGAAAAATTGGGGTGTTCTAAAACTTTTGACCAGTAGTGTATATGATCATATTTAAGACTGAAGCAATAATTAATGGTAGGACTTCTTTGAGCAGTCTTGTGGGAATGAGGTCTAAAAGACTCATTGATGGTTAGGAGGAAGTAATGACTGAAGTTAATTCAGAAAGATCAAGAGGAGAAAGAGTCTAAATACATATCAATGGTACCGAAAGTAGCTGGACATAATGTTACATCAGTAAGATGGTTATGAATATTTTTTTATTTAATGTTTAAAATTTTATATCTCTGACTCTCTCGCACCTGGAATCATCCGTCCCTCTTCTTCACCATTTGGTGTTTCTTTTCAGTTGAAAAGAAATACAAAACTCTCCATCCCTGTATTTATTTCACTGGTCTGAGAAAAATCACAATTTAAAAACAAATACCAGTTTCATTTGTCGTCTTCTGAACCAGATGGTTGGCTTGATGGTTTTGGAGAACCATCTTCTCCAAAAGTATCTGGTAATGACGTTCAGTCTCACCAGCGTCCCTTCTGTGTTTAGGGGCTCTTGTTAACAGCATTCTGGGAGATTTCCTTAACTGCTTCACCTTCACCTATCTCAGTGACATCTTGATCTTCTCAGAGTCAGTCCAGGAACATGAAAGCCTTGTCTGACAAGTGCTTCAACAACTTCTTGGGAACAAGTTCATTTGTTACCCCTGTGCCAACCTTCTTGAGGTGTGTTGCTGCCATTACATTCACAATTAGCTAATATCTTTATTAAAAGTGAAAAACGTGTCTAAGTTTGAACATTTGATATATTTTATATGTTCTATTGTGAATAAAATATGGGTTTATAAAATTTGCAAATCATTGCATTCTGTTTTTATTTATTTCACACAGCATCCAAACCTTTGTGGATGTGGGGTTGAAGTATAAGTTGTGCTAACATGTCTCTATCCAGGTCATAGTAGTCTAAGGAGTCTAAGGAGCTTGGAAAGAAAGCAACTTCTTTAAATTACTTGAAGACGTTTCACCTCTCACGCTTCAGTTATAAAGTCCCAGGTACTTAAATCCTAGTTAGGGTTCAAATATACGGACTACAGAAACCACCCATGCTTTAACTTGAGATGCAATCCGGACTGCTTCCCAAGAGATTGCACCTTGAGTCTACAGTCAAGGGACAAGAGCTGAGGCAGATCTTATAGAGAGCAAAGTAAGTAAGTATGAAGAGCACTCCAAAGTGAGATCAACCTGACCCTGCAGGAACTCACAAAACTTCTACCTTCTTCCATTTCATAAGAGGTTTGTGGACAAGGCACAGTTGGCACAACACACGAAAGAGAAAGAAAGACAACTCCAGAAATTCCAACACTCCAAACCAAAACTTACTACTTTCATTTAATGCCCAGACTAAAACGGAAAGACTTCACAACCAAAGACAGCCAGGTACGCCAAGCACAACTTATCAAGCTCAGCTTTACAAATCTGATAATTTTACCATCCAAAAACCTTTCTGTGCGCACAAATGTCTGTGCAGATAACCATTTGTAAATCTTAGTTTACGCTTGTGGATCATATCGTACACATTTGCAACCCTTTTGAGGCAAGTTGTGTATAAATGACCAGTATTTATTCAGGTTTGGGCATACATATTTTTAAAATGGTTTCATATGTGGTCAAATTGCTTTGTATTTGAGTCTGAATTGAAGCACATGCTTGTGAGTCTTCAAAAGTTAAACACAAATCACTGCACACGTTCATAAATCTTCATTTATGTTTGTGGACCATACTGTACAAATTTGTAACCCTTTTTAAACATATTTCTCTTCTATCTGCCCAAACGAAACGTGTACGGGACGGACAGGACTATAAATCCCACTTCAGCTGTACATCTGGAAAATGGTAAACGGTAAACGGACTGGTTGTTACACAACTTGCCTCATTCACCCATTCATACAAGCACTTTTTGCTATGCTTGTTCTATCTAAGTGTTTTCTATCTACTATTTACACACATTCATACTCTGATGTATGCATCAGAGAGGAACTTGGGGTTAGTATCTTACCCAAGCATATCTGGCACTGTGACTGGAGCAGCCTGGGATCGAACCACCAACTTTACAATTAGCAGATGACCTGCTCTAAGTAAAAAGCTCAGTCTTGGGATGATGTAAAGGTTCAAATTTTGGATGGAGAAGACTGATGGTTTGACATAGAAGAAAAATAGGCCATATATGTCCACTGTGAATGACCACCTTTGAACAGAGTGGGTGGTTTATGCCATCAGCTGTCAGCCCCCTACAATTCAGTCTCGAGATCCCTTCCCAGGTGCCTAAACTCATGTTGCATGAGGTGATCTCAACAGGTCACATGACAGGGTGAGGCAAAGTCTCACACTGGTTTCACTTGAAACCAGTGTAATGACCCATACCTTTTTTCACACACTGGCAGATGTGCATGATTAATAGTAAGTCAGGTTAAGGGACAGTCCCCACTAGGTTTAAATCCCTGGGATTTTCCACCATTTGGTTTTAGAAATTAAGAAGCCTCTTCGATGAGAGGTGGAATGTGTTCAAGAAATGTTAAAAAGTCCACTCGCTTTCTTTCCAGCTCCTTAGACAAGCTGTGCTAACCTGTGCATATTTGTGTTACCTGTAGGAATCGAATGAGATAGCAGAGCACCAGTTTGTTGATATGTGGCAGGCCCAGCACCACACCGACAGCTGCTTCTGGGTTGTCATAGTGAGTGATACACTCCTCATAAAACTCGTGAGGGATAAGCGGTTCTTCGAGCTCCCTGTACCAAAGTTTCAGCAGAGAGGCTGCAGATACAGAAGAGGACACCAAGTGAGATTTCTAAGAAAGCACTTATTCAGGAATGCAAGTCATTTGAACATCTCAATCTACTGCAGGCGGATCATATCTGGGCTGCAGAGACACAGTGTTCAGTAGCACTATTCAACAGTGTGTATGTGTACCAGGAATGTGTGGGTCTTCCAGTCCTGTAGGGATTTTCCATTGATCCACTTGCAGCTTGAGGGCATTGACTTCATCTATGTCCCCTGGTACTCTGGAGATCAAATGTCACAGGATATTTACACTTCCGGCCCTCTTCTTATGCTACATAGTTGTTTTGCATAAAGAGTGTGAGAACCAGAAACACAAGGATGTACAAGAGCTTCATCTCAGACATGCAGACAGCAGATACAACACACACAACCTGCTGACCACATAACTGCTCACAAAGACTTGTAGCAACTCTTATACAAACACAAATGTTTCTTCATCATTTTTGAAATGCATTAAAAATATGTTGAAAACTGACACATAATTGTGGCTAGAAGAGAAATCTGATATCCAAATATATGTATTAAAAGATTATATGTCATTAACTTGCCCAACTTTGCACTTCTTTCCTTTGAGTTTTAAACTGACTGTTTGTCAGCCCTTAAAACTTAACCTGGTTACCTTCTGTAATTAAGAAGTTTGAGGGCTGGCAAAAATAATGCAACACGACAAGCTCCACATTTTGACCAAGACTTATGTACTTTAAGAGCATGTGACCAAGAAATGATTTATAGTAAGATTTTGCATGGTTCCACTAACTAATGACACATTAAATAGTCATTAAATGCTTCACAGAATTTAATGTTTGTAAAGCATTAATTTTATTTTGTTTCATTTTTTCACATCTGTTTTCATACTGTGCAGTCTTCTATCATCTATTTGGTCCCATTAGCTCCCTTAGCTCCCTTCCTCACTCACCTGAAAATGCCTTCTGTTTGGTCTCCATTGAGACACAGGACCTCTTCAGAGAGGCGAGTCTGTACCCATGGCAATTGGCGGTCTGGATATCGCTCCTTCTGGAGTGCCATGACCTCCTCAAGGGAGGACCCAAACATGGAAGGGTTGAAGATGGCGTTCCTGGCATGCTTGATTTCCTCTATGCAGGGTTTCTGCACACCCTGAAAAAGTGTGACAGAAACGCACACACAGACACACACAGATAAGTTACTGCAGGGCAGCTGAGGCAGAGCTGAGAGCATTTTGAGTACTAAAGGAACGTTCAAAAGTATCAAGTATTAAGATGTCAGTGAAAAAATCCACAAATATAGTTAAACAGTACTTGAGCGATTATGGATTTTGGCGATCTCTACACGTCAACCATGGGAACATACTTTCTTCTCACATGAGTTTACTTTCTAACTCTCGTCTGGATTATTTCCTAGTCAGCAGCTCACTGTTGAGTGACATTTCAGACACTGAAATACACCTTATACCTGTCAAGGATCATGCTCCCTTGTCTTTAATTCTAATACATAAGTAGGTCATTCAGCCAAGTAAAAACTGGAAATTTAACACATTATTGCTTATAAATGAAGATATTATTAAATATTTTAAAAAAGAGTGGGCTTTATATTTAGACTATAATGACCTGCCTGGAACATCAGTATGTGGTCTCTGGGAGGCAGGAAAAGCTGTGATGAGAGGAAAAATAAGTTCATTCTCATCTCATCAGAAAACAAATATATATTCACCACAGATGAGCTCATCTAAACACAAAATTGATCTGTTTCTTGATAACATAGCCCTTCCAAAATTATTAGACATTAGGTTATAGCGATCAAGGGTATAAAATGTGTAATAAACCTTCTTAAGAGCTTTAGATTATTAAATAAACTGGCTGAAATGTACAGTTCTTCCAATTGCTCCTTCCATTTCTTCCTCATTAATAGTCAGGTATTGTTTCTCCTAGGCTTACAGATTTAAATACACTAAACTACATACTACATATTTATGAATATATTTATACTCATAAATATCATGTCTATATGTTCTTCTTTTGCAGGCTGCATCACTGAAATGAACATTTTTGTCAATAAAGACTAGGTTGAAAAGGGGAAGTAAAGACATGTGGACAGACAGCGCTCCGTACCTTCTTGGCTCCAGTGAGTGCAGCTTTTGTCAGTTTCCTGTAGCAGTATTTAGCATAACTGCTAATGGCCACACCTTGAGCAACAGAAAAAGACAACATATTAACAACATTAGGAGAGTGTTTTAGTTGTCTTAAATCGATTCATTAGCACGACAACAACTCAAACATTCTTCCAATCTGTGGAGATTCTGTATCTCACGATGTCAATCACTGGTGTTGGATTATCATTTTGTAGATTTGATTATGGCGCTTTGGCTGTTGCCATCTGAGATTTGAAGTAGGAAGTGTCCATATGTGGATGACAAGGTGGAGCTGGTGAATAAGGCTTCAATGCTCAAGCCAGCGCTCAATATATGTACATCAATGATAATTTGCTTCGGAGAACCACTTCTAATTTCAATAATTGCTTAGGCAATGGCAGCAACTATTAATGTGTTTTGAAAAAGCAAAATGAAATAAAAACTTAGTACAACAACAGTAATTGTAATCTCTGACTAAAGGAGAGATGGAGCATCAGTTGTTTATGAGAGACTTTAAAAATAGTGCTGAAAGTAAATCTGACAGCCATAGTGACTGTCTGTATTTTGTTGCAATTTACAAGAGGTCACCCAAGGGAAATAGCAAAAGTTATACTCAAGCTAAGGCTTTGTTACAGGAACATTTTGGAAATGGATCGTCAATGAAACAGAGCTCGTTAAATCAGAGGACGTTAAGGTACTTCAGGACTACAGTTTACTTCTTAGAGAAACAGTAAATGTTAAAAGAACTGATTCCTACAATGGTGCCAAAAAATGTTTGCCCCCTTCCTGATTTCCTAGTGTTTTGCATATTTGTCACACTTACATGTTTCAGATTATAACCCAAGTAAATACAAAATGCAGTGTTTAAATGATGATTTCATTGATTAAAGGAGAAAAGTTCTGCAAACCTGACTGGTCCTGTGTAAAAATAGTAATTGAGTTCAGTTTCACTAAACACACCTGATTACTGGCAGAGCTGTTAAATCAAGAAAACACCTAAATAGAACCTGTCTGACAAAGTGAGGCAGACTGAAAGATCTCAAAAAGCCAGACATCACGCCACAATCTAAAGAAACACCTGAGAAACAAGTCTGGAAAAGGTTATAAAGCCATTTCTAAAGCTGTGATGCTCCAGTGAGCCACGGTGACAGCCATTATACACCAGTGGAGAAAACCTGGAACCATGCCTGTAAATAACATTCCACATCAGAAGGATATTTGGCTTCATTTAAGACACATTCACCTTCTAGAAATCGAGTCAGAGATTGAGTCACTGTTAGGGGTAAATGTACCAAAGGCACTGGAACCACTGAGTTTAAAAAAAGAGTAAAACATATTAACAAATTGAAAGTCCATAATGTTTGTCTGTGAGATGGTTATGAATATTTTTCCAAAGGTATCCAGAGTCGCATGTAGTGAAAATGTAAAGCTATTGCTTCACTCGTCTACGTTCATTTGAAGAGGAAAAAATTTCCACGGGACTTTTAAACCAAAGGTATTCACAGTTTTACTTAACCAAGCCAACACGAATGCAATAAAATAACTTTCATTACCCATGAATTTACTTATTAAATAACTAATTACACAAAATAAGTTTGACAGTAAATATAAATACTGAAATATATGAACTATATTAACTTGGCTCCCACACCACTTCTGTGCAATTCATTATTGTACATTTAAACATTTTTAGGAAATGATCAGACAAAAGAGGAAGGTTAAGAAAGATCCTTTATTCCGACCATAGCACACGGACTTGGAGATAAAAGGATTCAAAGGGTTTGCATAGCAAGTGGCTGTAGACAAATTGGCACTTGATGATGGGACATTATGGTATATCCCTCACAATAGTGCTGAACTCATGCAGAGGCTAGATCTCACTAGCTCTTTGACAAAAGTTGCAACCAGAGCTTGGACAACATTATTGAAGCACTGTTGAATCATCTGGACGGAGAACAAAACAAAAGGCAGTCTACATCCAAATAGGAGCTTTAGAATATCTTTAAAGAATCGTGCAGAACAATTTATGAGGACTACTAATAGAGATTAGAAGAATGCTTGACCAAATGAGTTCATGTTGTGTTGCAGAATAAAAGTGGTTATACCAAATGATTCCCTTTCATACTTGTTAGAATTTTACATATTCAGTTTTAGGCTTGTACACTGTACTTCCTTGGATATTTGGTAAACATTATGGAAACCATTTGTGGATATAGACATGTAAAAACACAATGACTACTTAATTCAACTCAATTTTATTTCTGTAACTCTAAATCAAAAACAGTCGGCCCAAGTTACTCTATACTGTTCATGGGACCCAGCTGGACGCATCCCAAAGAGACGACATGGGCCCAACATCCCGTAGGCCTGCCACTCACAGGGGGCATCATAGCGGTCAGGGGCAGCCAAGAGTGGAGGCCTTGGCGGACCAATCCCCTCCTATCAAGGCTGGTAATCGAGACACGGAACGACACCTCTCTGGTGGGGATGGACCCTGAGCTAGTGCATGAGGTTGAGAGACACCGGGTAGATGTAGTCAGGCTCACCTCAAAGAATGTCTTGGAACAAGCCTCCTTGAGAAAGGCTTGACTCCCGAAGGCTCTGGATGTTGTAGGAATGTCATGTTTGACACTCCTCTGTAACATTGTGTGGAGATCTGGAGTGGTGTCTCAGGATTTTCAGACTGGGATGGTGATTGCCATCTTTAAGAAAGCGGATTGGAGGATGTGCTTCAACTAGGCCGGGGTATTGGAAAGGACAATATGTCTGTTAGAACAATCCCAGGTCCAGGACAACAATGCAGTTTCCATCCTAGTAGTGGAACCATGGGCCAGCTCTTTATCCTCTCAAGGATGTTTCAGCGTGAATATATGTGGAAGTTTGTCCAAACAATCTACGTGTGCTTTGTATGCTTGTGGGGGGCGCTGTAGGAGCATGGGGTGTCTGACTTGTTCTTATGAGCCATTCCATATCCATGTACAACCGCAGCGAAAGCTTGATCCCTTATTGCCAGCAATCTGTTAGACTAATTTACAGTGGGAGACTGCTCTTTGTCACTTTTGTTCACAACATTTATGGACAGTATTTCTAGGTATAACCAAGTAGCGGCCTCAGAATCTCATCTCTGCTTTTTGTAGATGACGTGGATGACTCCTTTTTAATGTATATGTCAAAGTCAGCAGGAAGGTATTAAACCACCACTTGGTACTTGTTTTAGTCAAATATCTTCACCAAAAATAAAATCATTCTTATAGAATTTAATTATTTCTTTGGATTGTGAGTTATGTAGATGTCTGTTGGAACTGTTTGGTGATAGAATCTCCTCCAATAACAATAGAATAGAATAGAATAGTCATTTATTGTCATTGTACATGTACAAGAAATTGTGAGTGCTTCACACCGAGTGTGCTAGAATAAAATATAAAAGCAGGAATAAATAACACCTGAAGGTGGAGACAGATTCCACCTGTTCTCCATTTACAATGACAGGGGAGTGGACCTGTCACTGCATCCTGAAGTCCATTATGAGTTCTTTTGTTTTAAGGACATTGAGCTTCAGGTTGTTTTCTGAGCACCAGTGGGACAAATTCTCTCGCTCCGCCCTGTACGCTGTCTCAACTCCAGTTGGTTAGGAAATCCTGTGATCCAGGAGCAGGTGGCAGGGGGGATGTTGAGGTGGTCCAGTTTGTTGGTAAGGATGTCTGGGATGATGGTGTTGAATGCCGAGCTGTAGTCCATGAAGAGCATCCTCACTTAATTCTTCCTGTCATCCTCCGTAGACTGATTTGGTCTGTAAACAAACTGGTAGAGATCGAGATAGGGCAGTAGGCAGCATGTGCTGAGAGACTATCCGCCTCAAACACTGGTGAGGGCTTGAATGCCTCTTCACACCTGGCGGGAGTTGTTGTCAGTGAGGAAGCCCTCTATACTCCTCCTGCAGGCCTTCTTTGGCCCGTTTGATGCTCCTCCTCCTCAGGTTGTCCCTGGCAGTGCTGTACAGAGAACGGTCCCTCAGCATGAAGGCTGAGTTACGAGATCAGAGCATGTACTTCACTCGTCATCCAAGATTTTTGGTTAGGAAAAACCTAGGTGGTTCAGTGACCTGGGTGCTTGGAGAGGTTTGTTTCCTAAGGGAGGTGGAGACAGGGAAGAGAGATGGTCAGATTGTCCTAGGTGGAGGAGGGGTGTTGGATTTTAGGCCCGTTTGATGTTATTCTACACATGGTCCACTGTCCTGTCCCCTCTGCTCATGTACACTTAACATGTTGGTGGAATTTGGGGAGTACTGATTTTAAATATGTCTTATTAACGTCCCCTGCAACAACATTGCCTTTTTTAATATTTTTCCATCTGCCCCATAAACCAGCTCCCTTTTGTTAAATTCAGTTCTGCCTGCGCTGTCTGCATCTGGTCCTCCCTTAAAACACACGCCAGTGATCGTGACACCATTAGCTTGCGAGGTAGATAGAAGCGTCTGCACTGACTGGACATGGCCTCTAAGTACGGTTAGGAGTGACTGTCTATAATTCTACTGTTGGCATCAGTTATGAAGTACATAAGGACAGAACGCTCCGCCCCTTCCCTTACCAGATTCACTCCAGTCCTGGCGGTGTAGATTCCGGCCCGGTAACTCCACTGAGGCACTGGATTCAGTTACAATCAGCGGACAACACTCCTGGACAAAGCAGTTGTATTAAATCTCTGATTATAGCTCCTCCATTGTGTTTTTGAGAGATGCATTGGTTGTTTTTGCAGCTGGATGCGACAGCCAGCTCTGCATCCCCACTTTTATTTTATCCTCTCGCTTGCTGTTCCTGACAACAACCCACGAAACACCCGATGGTCTTGCGATCTCGGGTGGGAGACTTTCATTCCAATCTAAAGTCCAGACTGAGGTTGAGGCCAATGCCAGTTCTTAACAAGTGGAAGTGATCAGTGCTTTGCAGGACGACGCAACGAAAAGGCATAAGAGTATGAGTAAAAGCAATTGATTTGTGTAGCGAAATAACTATCCCTCTTTGTCTAGAATTAAAATGAGCAGAGAAGATGTGGTTAAAGGTTTTTTTTTTTTATATCTGAGAGTCAGTTTACAATAAATGTAAACAATGTAAGCTTTAAGTTTGTTTATGTGGCGGACGCTTTGAGTCTCTGCCTGTGTTCCAACACCACAGATATTCTAAGTTACAAAACTTGGCAATGTCATTATGAGAGATTTCAAATTTATAAAGTAGAGTAGAAAAAAAAATGTTTGTGCATGTGTGAATATATGTGTTTGTGTCTTGTGCCTGTATGTTGAGGGGATATAAATGAAAAATGTACGGAATAAGAGAAGTTTGTAAAAATCAAAAAGACAAGGAAAGACGAATGCTGTGTCAATTTCTTTTCAATGAAAAATTCCTGTGTTACTTCTACAAAATGCTTTGTCAATATCCATTTGCACCATGAAGTGCTGTCCCGTCAATCTTTAAGCATTTGGCTAAATACGAGTAAAGAGTGTAATTTATCCAAGTCTTTCCATCAAAAGCCACCTCAGTAAAATACCATCCAAGTGACTTGATTCCAGACAGATCATGTGTCACTGGTACTAAATAGCAGAGATGTGTGTTGGACCCTCACCTTTGGTGTCATTCAGAGGGTCCATGTGTCGATAAATATAGCCCTCCAGGTAAGTATGGAAACGGGGTGTCGGGGGAAAGAAAGCTAGACAGATGGCCATCAATTCCCAGCCTCGCTCTAGGCTGTCGTAGCGGAAGTTCTCTGTAGTTTGACGACACAGCTGGATGTAGAGCTCATCACGCAAACCCTGATTACTCCACCCACGCACCACAACCTGACAGACAGGCAGAGGACCATGTAACGTTAAAAAATTTGAGGTCATTTGAACTTTTCTGTCCAACTGATTTACCTCAATTCTACAAAAATTGGAATGGTGCATAAAATGTATATGAAAACACAATGCAATGATTTGCAGCTGTCATAAATATTTTATGCACAATAGAACAAAGACATATCAAGTATCAGAAATCAGAAGATGCACCATTGTAAGAAAAAATAAGGTCATTTTGTATTAGGTGGCAGCAACATGTCTCAAAAAAGTTGGTACAGAGCCATGTTTAAAACTTTGTTGCGCCAGATGTTTTCAGTTAGTGAAACAAATCCAGTATGCAGTTTATCATTGTCTTGCTGAAATATACAAGGCTTTTCTTGGCAAATATGTTGTCTGGATGTGAGTGTTCCATAGGCAGGATGCAGGATTTTGAACTGAATGTTAATAACAGGCCAGATGGTCTCTCTCCTATTTAATGCAGAGGATGCGGTATCTTTGTTTTTAAGAATTTCAAAGGTTGATTCGTCTGACCACAGAACAGTCTTCTACTTAGCCCAGTCCATTTTAAAAGGACCCTTAGCCCAGAGAACATCGCATCACATCTTTGCATAATAAACCTTTAACCTGCATTTGTGAATATCACAGGAATGTTCACAGACAAAGATTTCTCAAAGTGTTTCCGAGCCTGCAGTCATTTCCATGAGAGAATAATGACTGTTTTCAATATAGTGCCACCACAGGGCCTAAATAACACAGGGATCCAATACTGGTTTTTCGACTTCATATTTTCTGAATCTTTCAATGATATTTTGTTCTGTAGATAACGAAATATTCAAGTTTTTTTTAACTCAATTTTACATTAAGGAACATTATTTTGCCTCTTTTTATAATCTTTATAAACCAAGTCGTGTTACTGACCTGTTGACAATTAACCAAATTAGCTAATATTTTAATGAAATAGTAAAATGTCTCACTTTAAACATTTGCTAAAATACTGTGCAAAAGTCACGATCCACCCCTCATTTCTTTTTATGTTGGTAGGAAAATGGGAAATGGAACAGTGCTCTATTGAACTCTATAAAACATGGAAATACAGTATAAGGTAAAGGGTACGAACAGAGTTTCTAAACTTGAAATGAGCTTGAAAGTCAATATTTGGCATGACCGCCTTTATTGTTCAGTACAGCCTGAACTGTCTTGAGGAAGCTTTCTTGTAATTTCTTTAAGCAGTCTTCAAGACAAGTTCTCGGTTTTCGTGTATAACTTCCCACAGCTATTCTTTCTTTGGC